GGGTTGTACAAGTGTGAGATCACACTTATTTTACATCAGGGTGCAAACCAGGCGCTTGAAATGGGTGTGATCACTGGTGGTGCGTGCCAGTGGCATGTATTGATCTTGATGTGCTGGGAAGTGTGCGTGCGGGGTTTGTTCTTCTGAGGGAGAACATTATTTTGGTATTCTTTAAATCTAGTGACCCACAACTAAATGTAACATTTTGATACCTCCCTCTATCTTTAGGTTTGCGTTCGAGCATGACAAAGTAGTAATGTCGTTCAAATGAAAGAAACACCAGCACCCATGCAACAGGGGTGTTCAAAGGCAATTTGCTACTTCATTATGATCTTGCCAACATTTTTAACCAACCGAGGTATTACAACATCTAATTAATCCATTGCATGCCATTATATTAACAATTCATTTAGGCAGTAGGGACAGGTCAGTACGGTTCATTAATACACATGCTTGGTATAAGCTCGCATGATGCAACTTTGAAAATTGTCTTTCACGTGAGAACTCTGAAAACATAGTGCTGTGTTCTTCTAGATACGCATACGAATGTCTTAACACATTTTGTATGCAGGCAAGCATTTCTTGTGAGTCATCATTGCCATAGTCACTGCCACCTGTGTGAGTTGCTGGGCGCTGAGAAAGGCGGAGAAGTATTGCTGTTGTTTTCTTGGGTAGCACTTAACAATATTTTATCATCAGCCTTGTGTGCACCGGCGGCTTCATCACTTCCTTGCATTTTATCTATCTACCCATAGCTGCATGCACTTGCAATGTCTCCAGCATTGTGCAAGGTCACCAGGTTTGCAGTGTCATTTCGCAACATGTAATATTTTATTGTTATACATGTTATTATTTGCATGAACAACATTTTTGAGTGGAACAGCCTGATGGCTGCAGCATGTTGCATAGATGTGGAAGCAGAATGCGTGTTTGTCATCTTTGTCATCTATGTTTTGTGGATTCTCAAAACAATCTGAGCAAGTAATGTCACTTATTCGTTGCGTGCTTTGCTGAAAGTGATTTGTGTATTGTATCATGTGTTTGTGGTAAGTTATATGTCAGATGGAGAGTTAGTACAAAAATGCGCTCTTTGCCCATCTTTTCATGGGGAAACTTATTATGAAAGCGGCAGGGATTGCAGTACAAAAACCAAAGCCTTGTTCATCGTGCCATGCCACAGTACAGCACCGAGGTAGTGCCACGATGACACTGTTGACCCGTGCCATCACACAGTGCACCACATTGGTTGACTGCTACATGTCAAGCGTATGAGATGACAGCTTATAATTTGTGAATGACAGGTAGCAAGTGATCTAACGACCCCAAAGGACTATTACCCGCGAGAATGATGTTGCACCACAGTGGTTATATCAGGGTTAACTAGTAATTGCATAAATAATCCTAGGCCACAAAATCATTCTTGGTAGCTCAACCTTACCATCTTTACCATGGCATAAACAATGTTTTGCCTGTCATTACATAGCAGTGTTGCCGAATTATTTATGATTGCATGCAACTGCCTTTCAAGTCCAAAATAATAAAGTAACTACTACGCACATCATATGATATCAATGTCAGGACTACAGCACTGCAGGCAAGGATAAGCCGGTAATAAAGCATTGACATTCTCAACATTCCCTGGCAGATTTCGGTGAAAGATTTATGACGCTTTATGACAGTCTTCAAAGCATATCGCGCTTTGATATTAATGACCTGCCCTCAAAACTGGCGATCGCTGCACTGCGTATGTCAAACTGCCCATCAAAGCGTCTGTCACGACCAGTACCTTGGCAAAAAATCCTCAAACAAGCCATTCACTAATCACCTACCAAACACGGCCCCCGGGACGAGAATGGCCGGCTGGCGTCAGCTGTCGTGCGTTTCGAGGCATTCTTTAGGTCCGGCTGCCAGATGCTGCCAGGCACTGCTGTCATCGCAAAACAATTCCATGGCGCCGTCAAACAATGACGTAATAGGAAGCATTTTTACAAACTTTTAAATTTTGTTCCTTAGGGTCGTCGTTGAGCTTTGAAAGCTTACTAGTAGTTACTAGTAAGCTTTTCCCATTATATCTGGTGCTTTTCTCAATATTTTCAACTGCGAAACATTCCCTTTAAACTGACAACATAAGAAGATCTGAGGAAACTTCGGCATCGGTTCAGAGGTTGACATTGTTATGTATCAATGAGTTTCATTGCTCCACTGTTAACTACCAGCAGTGACCTTAATGAGTTAATGCTTGATGAACACTTATTACTGAAGACTATTGCCTGGAGCGACCTTTGGTTTTGCTCCTTGTTTTCCAAGTTGATTTCCAACAAGAAAAGACAGCGGTAATAGTCTAATTCCCAACACACAAAAACAAAAAACAGCAAAGTGGCGGGGTAAAGAAATAGCGGTAGTTTCTACAGTTTTATCTTTCTTACTAGGAATAGGGCTTTTACTATTGTCCTATCTATATTCATAATGTTCCTCGCAAATGCACTTAACTTAAGGCTTTGCATCTGTTTGAGAACTGGACATCAATATCATTTGCTCCAAAGCTTTGAAGACAAGTTCCCCTGCGCGTTAAAATCCAGAAAAAATACCCCAAATTCTGACTGATGCTGTGGCCTACGTCCACAGCATCAGTTAGCGGGGTGCCGATGGCACGTGTGTCACAGACAGCACCGGGGTGCCCGATTTACTGGACGATCATGACTGCCGGCCGGGGCTGCTCTTCGCGGTCGACAGTGTAGTTCGCTATATTGCCGTGCTCGTCATCCAAACTGCACTGGTACAGAAGGCTGCGCCACCTGCCAACAAGCACTGGTGAGCCATCTGGAGGCTGCACTCCTACATCCCTATGTCACCGTCTGTGGCTAAAAAATGGCGGTGGGCTGATGAATCCCTCTCCAGGAGCAGTCAAGAGGTGGTCCTGAGTGCTGAGGAGGAGCTCCACCGCCACATTGTGCAGCTGGACGCGGCTTACCATGCAGTGCCCTGGCGGATGCTGAAGAGTGTGGTGGTGTGCTGCATCGGTACCGGTGACGTGTGAGATCCCGGCCACTACCCTCTGGGAACTCAGTGCGCTTTGGAAAACCACCACACTGAGCTGATCAGGATTCTGATGGTGACCTACCAACGGCTGTGTCTTCATCACCAGGCGAAGCTGCACAACGCACGCCTGCAGAGGAACAGGGTCTGGAAAATATTAACTAAAGCAGTGCTGTTTAGAGGGTATTCTGCCAGCTGGAGGCGCCAATATTCTCACTTCATTTGTCCGGTGATGTAACCAACAGCCAATATTTCCTTCAATTTCTGCATCCCTTTGATCGTTGGATCGGCCGGCCCATTTACCGCTTTCTGTGTAGACTTTTGTTGTGCGTGATCTGTGATTCAGTAAGGAGAAACAACTGTATTGATACGCTATGTTGAAGCATGGCAATTTGTGTGCGACGTTTCATCGATGTTATGTACCAGCCTATAATTGCCCATAATTTACTTAAAGTTTCACTATCAGCTCGCACATAAAGTGCACGCGAATCCGAGACATTTTTCTCGGAGGACGTTTGCGGCGCCTCGTGACGTTCGGCGGCTCGCGCGTACCTGGCAGTTAATCAGGCGGCGTGAACGGCTCGTGAAGACTACCTGTTGAAGGACGATAGATCCACTGCAGCTACATTATCCAGGAATTGAGGAATATGCTGAATCAAAGGGTGTTGCGACATTGTGAAATAGATAAAACACGTATCTCATAGCAATGCCAGGCAAATAGCACGTGCATTAGTCTGCAGGGCATGATGGCATTGCCAAATAGTTGAAAAGTGACTTTGTTACTGTATGTATCATTTCTGTTATTGCTGTGGTAGTTACACCATTTAATTTATTAGAAACTGGCTAACCAGTTCCTGACCCGGCCTGGGTGCACGCTCGTCCGCCTAATACATCTCAGCGTTACAAGTGCCTGTGCTCTTTGTCTATCTGTGAAAGCCGTGAAGCTGTCGAAAGCAGCAGAGGGCGACACGTCACGCCCCGCACAATGCAGATTCGGCGGCGACTCGGACGTCGGCATCACGCTCGCGCCTGCCGACCCGTGGACACCGGCTGCATCACCGCGGCACCAGGTGTGCTGACGTCCACCCCACGGCAGTATCAGATATCGCGCCCCTGGACGCTCACCCCGGAGGCCGGCACGACGGCAGGTGAACCTCACGGCACTCGTTCCACGGGCGCCAGGTACGACGGCGGCCCCGCCGACACTTGGCGTGAGCGCGGCGGAACCATCCGGACGAGCGGAGGAGCCGCGGCTGTCATCAGCGGTGGACCCTCACTCCACAGGCTTTCCAAACGGATGGCATCCGTACACATCGGACGCGACTGCAGCCGAAGCCCGTGAGGTTCTAGAGCTTCAGGTAGACAGGAAGACAGAGACACCACCATCGTTCAGTGTGAGCACGGCGGGCCGTCCGCGCAGACAGAGATCGTAGAGATCAGCGGCTGGGATTTCTCCATGCGGGCTACTCATTGACCATTTGAAGTACAGGAAATAGGTTTTCAGCATCGTTGCCATATGATCTCATCTCGTAAAGCACTTTGAAATCGGTTCTAGCTTTCAAGACTGCCTCCACGATCTTACACAGAAATCGTGATCCCCATGAGAAAGATCCCTATGCGTTGCAATGGGTATGTAGGAGCGAGTTAATGTTTCTTGCCTGTACCAATACTCAGACTTCCAAGACTGGCCTTGAGCAAATTTGTTTCTCCATGTGAAAAAAAACACCCACGGAGAGTTCAACCAAAAGCGTTCTTCGGGGCGGGCGTTTCGGAGAGATTGCGATCCATTCCGCAAATCATGATTACTCTTCCATGCATGAAATCCGTGGTGCACTGGGGCTAAATTCCCAGGATAAGTGCGGATATTTCACCGCGGCTCAGCCCATGGCCTACTCCAGAGAGCGAACATTGCTTATTAAAAAATCAGTTGCATTCTGGTAGATACTTTTGTATTCAAACACTTACAGAGTCGCATAATGCAGGCGTTTGTCAGGCCCACGACGCCTTTCACGTTTCCACGTCTGGCGTGTACGGTGTCGCAGGGCCGTCGTAACAATTGGAATCGAGCGTTTCAGCACTGAGACTTCCTCTTCTTTCTTCCACATGGATGTGCACCGGTCCACTTGCTGCGTTTACGACATGTTTCACAAACATCATTTGTATTTCCTCTATAGATTTCCCTCCCGTGTCTGGCAAGAAAAACTTCGCAAATAAAAACATCATTAAGTGCATGGCCGTGAAAAACCAGAATACTCCGTACATACCGAGGCTGGAGACAACCAACGGGAACGAATACACCATGACAAAATTGGCCGTGCCAAAGAAGAGCAAGCACACACCGCCCAGCTCGGCGCGGATAGCATTGGGCAGCAGCTCTGAGAACATAACGTTCATCAGGGGACTGATGCCGGCGGACATGGAGCAGACGATGGCGAGAATGGAGACCAGTGCGATCCAGCCGTAGTCGACTAGCTCCTCGCTATAGTAGAAGTAGCAGCCGCAAACGAGGCAGGCGGCCGCCCCGACCAGTCCGTTTATCATCAGCAGCGTATTTCGTCCGACACGCTCCATGATGATGCCGAGGAGGACGGTGGTTATTGTTCGGACGACCCCTAACAAGATCGAGCCTATGTAAGGGTTACTGAAGCCTCCCACGTCTTTAAAGACAACCGGCGCAAATGAGGTGGCTGTCAGGCCACCAGAGAATACAAAGCATAAGTACAGGCCGAGAATCAAGAGAAACGGTATGAGGTTGTGCCGGTGCTTGAGCAGACACAGCACCTGCAGCAGTGTCGCGTCATGCTTGTGCGCGTTGCCTAGCGACTGCTTGATTTCCTCAATCTGCTTGTCGACGTCATAGCTCTGGCCATGGTAGAAGCGCAGAGATCGCTCCGCCTCCTCCAGCGGATGTCCCTTGGAGACAAGCCATCTGGCCGAACGTGGAAACATCAGTGACGTCAGGAACTGCAGTGCCATTGGGCCGATGCCGATGACCAGACATGAATGTCGCCAGCCCAGCAGCCACCCGAAGAGATAGGTGCATGTGATGCCGAAGCAGCCGTTCACGATGAGTGAGGTGGTCAGAAAACCGCGCACGTTCACTGACGAGATCTCGCCGACGTGGGTGACGGTGGGCCCGAGGCAGACTCCAACGGATACGCCGACCAGCACCCGGCCAGCCAGGATAACCCAGAAGCTGCCGCCGAACGCCATCAGCATCCACCCGGCGGCCACCAGTGGCGAGAAGATCTGGACCAGGCGTACCGTGCCCAGCAGCGGGTTGACGTAGCTGGACGTGATGAAGCCTACCACGGAGCCGATGTTGAAGACGGACGCAATCCACGAGACCTGCGACACGGTCAGCGCCAGGTCGGCGTCCTCGGAGGTCAGCTGCTCCGTGAAGACGCCGCTGAACGCCACCGCCGCCGCCATGTTGAAATGGGTCATGGAGAATGAAGCGGTCGTGATAATCTGCCGGAAACAGGGAGACAAATCAGGAAACGGAACGGCACATTTAACGCTTTCACGAAGGCTCTGTGCAACATCTGGAAACATCAGAAAGTGGTTAAGAACCTACACAGAAGGTGTGCTTTTTAGGTAGCTGCAAGCAGCTGTCTTTAATGATGAAAAGTTATCATATTAGACCGATGATTTGGAACAAGCAAGGTGAAGTTAAGAAACATTTAGGTTTGCACGAGCATGAATATAATACAAACATGTTTTGTGCATAGGGATTTTAGCAACGTACAATTTTGAAATTTTGAAATCTGCGTTGCATTAAGCTGTCGCCTTAAAAATTATTAACCGCTTGGATTTCGTTGCATCATGCTCCATCCTGCGTGCCGATCTGCAATGTATTGCCGTATTCCTGTGTGCGTTTTTCGTGAATGTGCGTCTCCAAGATGCTAATTCTGGCGGACACGACTTCTAGGCTTTGTGTTTCGTGCATGAAATATCTCATTCGCAATCTTTGTCCGAGGCTAAGCACACAAACGCCATCATAGGACCAGGCTTGGGCAGCGTCGTTTAAGGGAATGTTCCATATTTGTATGGGGTTTTGAATTAAAATAGCCATTTTGAGGACCTTTTGATGCAGTTCACGGTGATGCTTTTTAACACCCAAAACACTCTCGTTCCTGATTTACACGCCCGCGCAAGTGCGAAATGTTTATTGGGAGCCTTTTTCAAAATCGTCGCAGCATTAATAACGTCATAGAAACGTTATGCGATCACGGTCATACCACACGCTGTTTTCTGTTTTTGGGCAAAACACATGGCTTCTGATACATTCGCAAAAGCGATGATGCGGCGCGTATGATACAATGCGCGGAAGATGATTGGCTGTTAGCAAGATTTCGCTGCTGAATGCGTGTCGCGAACGTAAGCGTGAGCACTTTCGGCATGTGCGATATTCGTCGTGAATGGGACAATTTTCTATATTTTTACCATTTGTACCACAGAAATAGCAATGCGTTGGCAATCAATTCATAGCAACGTTACAAGTTAATTAATTTTCGCATGACACCGCATTTTTAGCAACAAACAATAAAGAAAATAGCTACTGTGCACAGCACATGATACCAATGTCAGGACTACAACACTGCAGGCAAGGACGGGCTGACAATACAGTATTGACAAAACCATCAACAGCATAGCAGCAACAGCAACAGCGCAGCATATAGTGCTTTGATATTAATAATCTGCCATAAAAGCTGGCGATCACTACGTCGTGCATGTCAAACAGTCCACCAAAGTTCTTACGGCCAGCACCAAGACAAAAAATCAACAAACAAACTACCCACTAAGCCGCCACTCGACACAACCCCCACGACCAGAATGGCCGGTTGGCGTCAAATTTCGTGTGTTTGGAGGTATTCTTCAGGTCTGGCTGCCAGATGCTGCCGGCTTTTGCTCTCGTCACAAAACCAATCCATGACGCCATCAAACAATGGCGTAATGGGGCGCATTTTTACAAACTTTGAAATTGTGCTACTTAGCGTCGTTTTTCAGCCTTGAAGGCTTACCAATAGTTACAGTAGGCTTTTCCCATCATATCTGATGCCTACCTCATTATCTTCAGCTGTGGAACGTTCCCTTTAAGGTAGCGCACGTTAAGAATTGGCTCGATATCGGATATGATGAGAACCGATTTCCGTCAGCAAATTTTTTTCCTCGTAGTCTTGCGGGTTATGGAAACCTCTCGGCTTAGCTGCCTGCCCTTTGGGCAGCTCCTGGCCATACCCTGTATTGGGCGAAAGGACGCGAGAACCCGAACACTCGTGACTCGGGACGTTCGTGAGATACGTCCGGTGCTCGTGGTGCCTGATGTTGGTCGTGGGTAATGTTCTAACCAAATATTTAATATGGGTCATCGCAGTCTTCCGGTCGGGCTGCCTGTGTTTCGTGCAGTCCTTAACATTGCGCCATGTATCGGGTATGAGGATGTAGGAGTTTGATAATTCAGTACTATGACACCTATTTTGTAGCAGTGTTGTCCTTTTCTGCCCTCGACAAAAAGCACCAAGGTACAAGTTTTTACTGTGCAGTGTGGTTTGATTTAATTTTTGTTTTGCCTTAACGGCTTATGAGTGTATAGTAGATGCATGAGTCAAGGACGCAACGTAAGAAAAGGGGCGATTTGTTGTTATTTATAGGTTTTGCCTGCGATCGATAGCAACAGCCGCGTAAAACGCCAGGTAATTGTCAGAGGACAGAATGAACCATACCGAGCATTGCGGCACTTAATTTCGCCGCAAAATTGTGTTACTGGCCAGGAATGGCACGATCGGATGGGTGGAGCAAGGATGACAATAAACACTGCTTAGCATGAGCTCCGATCGCAGAGCTGCATCCGTAAACGTTTTTTGCTATTAAATCTTTTAACAATGCATCCCACATATTCGAGTTATTTTCCGTACTCGGGTGCATTGCTTTTTAATGTAATTTAGCGCTTAACCTGTTCACTGGTGGTTACAAGCACACTTCCAAACGTTGATCATCCACATTGGTACCAATATGCATGCGACCGGTTTGGTTCATGTTTGGTTGCCAGTTAACAATGTTTGGTTAAAACGTCTTTTAACTAGTAGCTCCTTGCATAGTGCAGGTCGATTACTGTCACTATGAGAACTCCGCACGAATCAAAGCAGAGCACTCGTCGAGAACCGCATATTTCTGAATCGGCAGCTGAACTGCGTTGCTGGGAAGTTGGTGTCAATGAAAATGATAATTTTGCAATCATTCATGAAAAGATATATTGGCAGCGTTCATAGTATGTTTTTTCAGCGTTCTACGTCAGCGACATATGTAAAAGCGCGCGACGCATAACAATGCGCCATACCGTACAAGTTGAAGTAAGTCCAAGCACACTGTCGTCATGGCAGGTATGGTATCGGGCTCCAGTCAGTCTGGGCTAAAAACGGCCAAGTTCGGCGAACTTTGAAATGAGCGTCGTCGGGCGGGCGGTCTCCGGACCTCGCCGGGAGTGACCGGCGGCCGCGCCTCCACGCCGCTGGCCAGTGTCGAGTGGTGTGGTCTCAGGAGTCGCCTGAGCGCCGTCGGGCGGACGGTCTCCGGGCCTCGCCGGGAGTGACCGGCGGCCGGTGTCGAGTGATGTGGTCTCAGGGACCGCCTGGTCCGCCAGTAAATGCGACCATTTGGCAGCTTCACTAAATACGTCCGTCGCTGTCCCATGCCGACGACGACGCCGGTGCGGTCCCAGCGGCGGTCTCCATGTTCTGCACATCGATACGGCAGCCTCGGAATGTCCGTTGGACCTGGGGTGTCGCGGGGACGACCTCTCGTGGCGTACTCCCCACCGATCCAGGAACCGCCGGAGCGCGGAATGTATGAAACAGCGCTCCCAAAGTCATCCAGTAGGGTGTGTAGGATGTAAATATGGATTCATGCTATCAAAACCCTGGCTTTCCGGCGGTACCGCGCGCAGTTTACTTGCGCTATTTTGCTGCCCTCTGACGCTGAACACAGACATCTAACCTGCCCAGCTCATTATCAAGCCTGAAGCGCCCAGATACTGGGTAGACAGCCGCCCGGCTCGATGCTGATTGGGCAATTTTGAGCAAGGGGAAAGGCAACAGGCAGTGAGCCCCAAGCCTGGGTATAACTCCATGAAAATATATCGACAGCGACATGCCTGCAACCCAAGAGGCGGAGTTTGAAACACTGGAGTGGTGAGCTGCGGTCCGCCGTCTGTGCGCAGCACGACGGGCGCGCCCGCCTGGGAGCTCAGCTGGCGCAGCTGCTTGACCAGGTGGTCTGCTGAGGCCGTCCGTGCGCAGCAGAACGGGCGCGCCCGCCTGGGAGCACAGCTGGCGCAGCTGCTTGACCAGGTGGTCTGCTGAGGCTGTCCGGGGGCAGCAGGACGGGCACGTCCGCCTGGGAGCTCAGCTGGCGCAGCTGCTTGACCAGGTGGTCTGCTGAGGCCGTCCGGGGGCAGACCGTCACATACAGCTAGCCCGGCAGCCCGTTCACGCCAACGAGGAACGTCCGGCTGGTGGCATGAAAAAGTCTGCCGGCTCAAAAACGTGGTTCGGGAGGTTGTCTTCTTACCACAGCCCTTCGTAGTTATGGCTGGCGGCGAGCTTTCTGCAACTCTGACACGATGAGACAATGTCGCAGATGTCTGAGACCATCCCCGGCCAGCACACCCTGAGTCGTGCACGGCGCTTGGTCCACTGCATTCTCTGGTGGGCGGTGTGGAGACGGACGAGGACCTCGTGGTGTAGAATGGCCGCAGTCATGAGCTGCGCTCCATAGACGAAGAGACCGTCGTCACCAGCATAGCACGGACTCCCCAGCAGTGCCGTGGAACTGATTTTTCTTCGCGTCGTTGCTTGGTGAATTCCGTCGTGATGACACTACAGAGGGCTCAGTACTCGGGATCTCGTGAAGTGGCCGCTCAGGGCCGAATCCAGAGTCCAGTCTTGAAGCGGCGCGATCCGAGCGCCATCTTCAGAGGCCGCGTTCCGAGCAGTGACCACGGCAGCGCGCGGAGCAGCGCCTGGCAGCGCAGCAGTCGTGTAGCACGTCCGTCACCTCCGCGACCTCTTCTCCCGACGCCGGGTCGCAGGCCGGAGAGAGTGACAGAGCATCCGGGATGCAGTGCGACACGGACGCCCTCCGTCACCCCCTTACGCCACACGGCAGGGAAGCTGTAGTTCGACATTTCCTCCCGCATCCCATAGAGACGAGGATTGTCGATCTCAGATAGTCTCTTCGAATTCAGGATCGGGACAAGCGGTTGGCGATTCACGAGATTGAACTGTGCAGGCCGGCCACAAATATATGGTACTTGTGGAGAGTCCACAGCCAGACCAGGCACTCCAACTCCAATACCGCGTAGTGTGACTCGGTGTCGGTGAGGAACGGGGACCGATTGGACTGGACATCTGGACAGCTGGACTGGATCAAGTTCCACGTATCTCCGTAACTCTACTGCAAGGCATAACCCA